CAAGTTACAACTATACATCAAATGCTTAGTTTGGAAAAGTAAAGGAATGAAAGTAAATTTTCTTAGAATTTCTTAATACCCCTTGAGATAATTATAGTTGACAGGTAAAATAAAGAATGTCTTATAAAATATGAATTTCAGATAAACAATGAATAATTTTTAGTATAAATATGCCCCATGCAATATTTAGATATGCCCTAAATTAGACATACCTAAATCTGGCCACCCTGAATTAGAGAAACAGGACATCGACAAAACGGGGAGAATGACGTTCATCAGCAGGAGATTCACTCTGATGGCAACGATTTGTCAATGGTATCCCCTAGACCCCTCTGTCTCTCCCATCCCCACCTGACACACAGTATCCTCAGTGAATCAGAGTAAGATACTTCCAATTATCATCATCTTGATTGACATTCAGTACATGTGCTTGTTAATGTGATGTTTTATGTACAACAGGTGTCATAGCCCAGCTTCCCCTCTACTACTCACACCTGAAAAAAATTTCCAACTGCTCAAGCCATAGAAGATTACTTCCAGCATATTCTGCATAAAGAACAGCCTGAAGGGAATTCAGTACTAAGGTATGGTTCAACTTCAGTGACTGAATTACCACAACTATATTTGAGACTTACAAATATTTGAGGGCGTCGACTTTGAATTAGGAGATCAATAGTTTTATTTTGATTCTAGGGCTTTTATCTTTTGCCCACATTATGGGAGAAATAAAAAAGCAGAAGGCATGATCTTTATCCTTCAAAATGAATGGGCCATCTTACTAAATTGGCACTCTTTGTACATCTGTTAGATTGGCAAGATTTGGGGCATCTAGAGGTCAATACAGAACCCTTTGATACATGCTAAACTGGGTAGTCTAGATACTAACCCGGGCGATGGGAGAGAGCTGTGTGACGTCGGCGAGGGAAAAACTTGATGGCCCTTTAAATGCTGCTTCCGTTTCAGAATTTTAATACAATTGAATCATATGCCAGAGAATATTTATTCATGAAATGTAAATTTCTTTTGGTTGCTCACTCTAAGTGAAATGTAAATAGTCTACCTTTTTTAAAATTCAAAAGTTTTTAAATATATAAAAATATATTAAAATTATGAGATAGCATATACATGTTAAAACTCTGTATATTTATCGTTTGACTTGTTATGTTGTTTGCTTTAGTGATGATTAACATTTCCAATGAAAAATACACTATACAGTTTTTCTTTTAATTAGATGATGATTTCATTATTATTTAGCTTCTTTTCATTTTCTGATAGCTGACTTTTAGAAATTCATACATCTTAACAGTTTAATCTAAGACTAGAGGATTGGAATAAACAATCAGCAGATAATTTATTTACTGTCCAAAATCAGCCATCAAAATGTTCAAAGCTAAAGGTGGTATAATAGATGCTACTACTTCTATATAAATAATCTTTTCTGTAGCCTTGATTTTGGAATGTGGTCCTACTTAAAAACATTGCAAGTTTCCTTTCCTTTAGTTTGTTAACATTCTATGCCTGACTAAAAGCAACAGTGAGGCTCTACATTATTTTTGGCACTGCTTCACCCCCAAATTAAGCCAGTTGGCACTCCCTCACACTCTAGGTGGGTTTTATGAAGTGCTCTGGCTTACGTTTGATGTTTGAAAATGTCAAATCAGTAGCTGTTAGCGCCGGAACGCGCTGCTGCAGTTTGATAAACAACCTTTAGAAGGCAGAGCATTGCAGTTTTTGCAAGAGTTTTGGGAAGACAGGCAGGGACCAAAATCATCAGTGTTTTGAGTGAGAGGAGAGTTTAAATGGGCTGGGCTTGCAACTGAAGAGTTATGGGGCAAGGCTCAGCAGAGGACTGTGGTGCAGTAGACCCAGTCAGAACAGGGCGAAGCTGTTGGCAGGTTGAAACCTACCATCTTAGCCAAATAGGGAGGGCTGAGAACATTATCAGATGAGTTAGCAGCCTACCAAGAATTTCTTAAGGAACATAAAACAGCCAGATAAGCAGAGGCTGAGGTCTAGCCTCGAGCTATTACTATTACTTCCTGTAAGCGGTTTCAATGAGCTCTATTAAACTTAGACCTTCTCTCTCTCTGGGCAGACACAAGCCTTCTATGTTCATATTTGTTGGACTCTGTTTGTTGGGACAGATCAGCAGCTATATTTTCACTCCCTAGCCCTGAGTCGTGTTTGTGCAGAAAAGCAGTGCTCTGCCCAGAGACCTGAGCAGGGCCTGTCTTCCAGGCTGAGTCCTCTGATTGCCTTTTTAGCCTCCTTTGTGGGGCTTTTACTCTGGCCTCTCCCCACCCCCACATCCCGGGCCAAGGGCCAGGCTTATAAAACCAGGCTTTGGATCAGGGCTTACACATACATTGCCTATAAAAATGTCTCTGAATCGGCAATAATTAATCTCCTGTGCAACTGTATGTGGCTCTGAAATGCTGTGTGTGCTTAGCAATTGCTCTAACTGGAAACAGATCTGTGGAGGTTGGTCAGGGATGGTATAAATATCCTCAGTCAGTGGGAGAAAAACATCTAGGAATATTTCTGTTACTGTCTCTTTAATAAAGCTTTTAAAACTACTGAACTCTGATCTTGGGTTTCTAAGTGTTACTGTATCCAGTGTGATTTGATTCCATTGTAATGTCAGGCCATCTAATGTCAGATAAGTGACTTTCAACTCAGGGCATTCAGAAATTCATGGGAGTGTTTTTTTTTTAAGTTATTACTACAATTTTATTTTATTTTTTAACACCTTTACTGTGGTTTGGTTCCTCTACGGTAAACTACACGTACTTCGGATGTACACTTTGATGAATTTTGATAGATGTATACGCCAATGAAACCACCACCACAATCAAGGTAGCTCACATTTCCGTCACTCCCCAAGAGGTGGAATTTTTCAAATTCCCAATTTATCCCTTCCCACCCAATGGGAGTGTCTTTTTGGGTTATCACAATGAGAGGGGAAACAATACTGGCACTGAGTGGACAGGAGCCAGTGATGCTAAACTTCCTGTAATACACAAGACAGTCCTGCAAAACCTGGAGGAACCTCACATAACATTCCCACAGCACACCAATGGTTGACAACACTTGTAGTGCACTCTAGTTGACTCGCAGCTGCGTTCCCACTAGTTACTGTCGCAGACATTTTTGGTTCTCAGAACCACTCAGTTACTGCCGTAATTTCGCATTCTTATTTTCTCAGACTCTTCATATCATTCAACAGAAACTTTGTCAAATTCCCTCCATGTGTGCCCACCCTGTTCTCCTTCCTACCTTCTCAGAGAAAGAAAGCTTTCCAAGGGTAACAACGGCTCCACCCAAGGTGTTGGTCCCATCCATCCCAACTCAGTCTCTTGCATCTTCAGTGCATTGCCAGTCCCTTCTTCCCTTGAGAAAAGTGCCTGGGGGTGGGGTGTGAGGGGCGTATAGCTCAGTGGCAGAACACCTGCTTAGCATGCACGAGGTCCTGGGTTCAATCCCCAGTACTTCTGTTAGCAATAAACTTTTAAAAATAAAATAAATGCAATAAAGCAAGCAAAGTTTTTTTTTATTTAATTGCTTGATTTTTCTATCCCAAATACCAAATAAAAGTAAAAACAAAAACTCTTAAACCTGCTACTTAGCCCCTCAAATTAACATTGCATTTTATTTCTTCATCATCCACTGGCTCCTAAGACACTCATGATCTGGTTTCCAGTCCCCGGTTCTGTTCCCTTGAGGATTTCCTCCATGGTCTGTTGCCCGACCACTCACTCTTCAAATTCCTTGCATTTTTCTGCAAAACTGGATCCTTGATATGCCTCTGACAGAAGGTCATTCCTTCTCCCATTGCTTCCGTGGCCTCTTGAAGTTCCCGAGAAGACTAGGGGCAACCAACACCATACGGGCATCTTCCTGCGCTCCGTGGTAACATTTCCATCTCTGTGCCTGCGTAGGATCCTGGCTGTTTCATCTTCCAGGCTCCTTTTCCTCATCCTTTTCCCATACCGCAGATACAGGATTGGCTGCACTCCACTCACTGTACTTAGCCTTCTTCTCAATTAGGTGAATGATCTGCAAACCTACACACCTAACTAACCATAAACCTTCAGTTGAACTCCAGGCCAGAATGCCAGCTGCCTGACAGGTAACTCCACCCAATAGTTCACTATCACTCCTTAAATTTAACAAAATAAAATCTACAACGTTTTAATGTGTTTCTCTTATAGCACTTTAAGTTTGGGGATTATTTTTATGGGTGACTGTCTCTATGACCATCCTAGGGGCTCTAGGATGTGAAGACAACAATGGTTTCTTATTTAATCTCTGCTCTAGAATCTAGTGTTTTAGAAATGTTAATTGGATAGTAAAGAAATTGATGATTGAGTGAAGACTTAAAGGTCCTTTGGAAAATAGACTGTGTCCGTCATATCTGTGGTCCAATACTGAGCACACTGCTCGGCACGTTGTAGGAACCATACAAATATTTTTTGAGTTAATCTGTCTCCTTGTCTTCCAACGCCAGCTTCTACTATTTTCTTTCCTACCAATGTCAGTGATACTACCACTTTCCTAGTTGCCCAAGTTGCAAAGCTCAATCTTTTCCGATCTTTCTCTGGTCATCAAATCCAATAAGTCACCAAGGCTGATAAATCTCCCTCAAAGATTTGAAATATTCCATTTTATGTCATTTCCACTGTCACCGTGCCGGTGTGCGCATCCCCATAGACCAGTATTTTCCAGTCTGCTATCAAGTACTCTGTCAGAGGTTAATAGAGGTATACTAAACAAACACACACAAATCAAGAACTGGCTGAACAGGACCAAAGGAGCCTGGGAGGTAGATACTAGGGGTCAGTTGAAGAATCTCCTTCCAATTAGCAGCCTCTCCGAAACTTTAATTGGCTAAATATATATTTCAAATACCATTAAAAGGCAATATAATTTATTATATAGCATTTTTCAGAATTATTTTACCATTGAAGCATTTTTCTGATATTACACAAATTTCTGTCTCCTGAAAAAGAGTTCCACATAGAGCCTAAGTTTGGGAAATATAGACCCCAAACTACCATAATAGCATCCTGGTTGCTCTCTTCGACTTCAGCTCATCTTTTTTTGCCCCCAAATCCATCATTAAAAAGAATGCCTAAACTAGTCTTCTTGAAACCCAGCTCCAATAGATTATTCTCTTGCTTACCACCCAGCCCCTAAAAAATAGGAGATTCTTAATGGCGCCTAATGATTTACCTAATAAATGTTCCAAACATCTAATTCTTTAGCATGGTACAATGGACAGGATAAATTAGATAGTAATGCTGCATTAGCAAGCAATTCATAAATCTCAGTGGATTAAAACATTTTTTTTTTTGCTCATGTTGTGTTCATCATATGTCAGCAGGAAGACTGCTCAGTTTTAGTGGCTCAGGAACTCAGGCTGATGGACTCATGCCAGAGGGAAGAGAGAGCTCTGGAGTGTCTTGAACTGGCAATGAAATACTTAAACCAGGAAATGACACGGGTCACTTCTACTTAAAACTTAGTGGCCAGAACTAGTCATATGATCCCATCTCAACACAAGAGGGACAGGAAGTGCAATTGT